GTACCAACCTGACACAGTTACCTAAAATAACAATGTAATTATCCTCTGAAATATGCCAATTCAAACTAACAAGTATATAAAAGCCAACGGAGCTGATATTATTATAAAATACATGAAATTCAGGAAGTGTATGCTTATTGACATAGCAGTAGCATCTGAAAGAAAAATTAAATTATCGAAAAATTGTCCAAATACAAGTACCTGGAGATCGAGATTAACAAGATGTGGGGGATGAAAACTAAGACTGTATTAATAGAAATCAGAGCTCTGGGCCTCGAGAAAGGAATGGACAATTTTACTAACAGTCTCCCAAGTAATATCAACATACAATTTGCCCAAAAACATTGCCCTACGAGGAACATCCCATATACTAAGAAAAGTGCTATCAATTAAATGACAATTTTTCTATAGGAAATAAGGACCATAGTTCGGACCCGGATACAAAGCAAGAAACATAATATACATAAATAAGAATAATAATCAATAGATTCTGTGATAAAAATCCAGAAACAATTGAAGATCTTCTATCAGGTTGCCGTGTCGTAAAATAATAGAAAACATTGTACTCACAAGTACAGTTCACACATTACGAATGGCTTAGCCACGTAAAATGTGTTTGATTTTAGGGTGTATTTTGTTGTTTTTGACGAAAATACTCGAAAATGTGTATACAACAGAAATCCAAGGAAATAATAATAATAATAATAATAATAATAATAATAATAATAATAATAATAATAATAATAAGATATGGCTTGTCCAGCGGATTGTAACATAGCAACCAAGGAATTTGAAAAAACTATCAAAATACAAAGACCTGAAATTGAAATAGAAAAAATGTGAAATTGAAAACAAGAATAATACCAGTGGTAATAGGTGCACTTGGAATTATAAAAATGGAACAAAACAACACATTGAAAGAATCCCTGAAACCCAGCTTAAGAGACATACAGAAAATTGTCTTATTAAGTACAGCACACACACTAAGGAGAACTTTGTCTATGTAACGCTAGCAACTTCATCGGAGAAAAAAAAAAAAAAAAATTAACATGAAATGTGGCCATAACAACACACCAGATAACCTGCCTTAGGTCTTTCCGCAGACTTGGTAGGTAGTGTGTCCATAGCAGAAATCGAATGATGATGATAATAATAATAATAATTTTAATTTCAGTGGCTAGCAGGTTTAGAAATGACACCAATTTTTTTGTTTGTTTTTTGTTTTTTTCTTGTTTCTATCACTTTGTTTAATTAATTCCTTAATGACCCTTCCGTCAAAGTGTGGACATGATCTACCCTATAAAACTTGATAAATATCACTTTTATTGGTGTCGGGAAGTTGAACATTTGTTGACTGACATTTTGTGCCTGCCTCTCAATATGTGAGTTATCGTCAAGTTTACACAATTTGAAATGACATTTTTCTTTTCTTTAATTTCATTTTAAGTCTGGTTGACTTTATTGAACTTTTTTCTTTTTTTAATTTTTTGGGAAGGCCCTCAATACAAACATATGTCCACATCTAATATTTCATATGGTAGTGGTCACTGCGACTTATACTAAGTTAAAACTTAGTATGGTCAATGCCATCTCTATGCGCTTAAACTGTCCCAACCACTGAATGCAGTACACAATAATGAACTCTGTAACCATAGATATCTGAATAACACTCCGCACTATCTCATGGGCAGGACGAGCTCTCTCGCCTTAGTCCAAAGTCGTCCTAGAGCTGATAACCCCTTGACGGTCAAGGATCAAACGCAAAAATTAGGAATCTCAATGATTAGGAACAAATACCAGATCGGCCGTCTCCCGGGTCAACAAGGGCCTCGTAACTCAGAGAGGAACCAGTCTGGGTCGAAAAATCTGTCACTGGAACAAACTCTTCCAACAACGAAGAGACACATGATCACCAAAACCCGGTCTATTTTCAACCTTGGACCAAGTAACTCAATGCCAAATCAACTAATAAAAGAAAGCGAAAGAAATATTCTCACGAAGTGTATCTACAAGTCAGGACATCTTTTTTCACCGCCCTCGAAAATCCACAAAAGATCACCAAGAATCAGACATACCAAATATGGAGAAACATCACAGAATTTAACAATGATATGCAACAGCTTTAGCAGCTACTGGGAAGCTTGTGGTCAAGACAATGAAAACATCAAACAACAGACAAAGAGAGTCAGTTTGGAAGGCAAAACTGATGTGAAAAATGTGAGATTTCGATATTAGATGCGATCATTAGAAACCCAAATGTCTCAACACGCGTATGCAGGAAGATCAAGCGGAAATATAAAATTAAATCACTAAATCAAATTTCATCAATCAAGGAAATGCTGAAACAGAAACTGCAGTTAAATGCACAGAGAACAAGACGATACGAAAAACCTTGTAGGTTCTAATGCCAAAATGAAACATTCCAAATGGATCTTAAGAAATTTTACAAGGCAGTTATATATAAAAGCAGTTATATATGTCAAAAAACCACCATCTATTGCTAAAGTGCGGAAATTTTGGAAGAATATTTGGAGCATCGCATAGGAATATAACGCCAATGTAGAATAGATCCAACGTGAAGAAGAACGAATGCTGGATAAACCTCTACAAGAATGGGAAAATATAACCACGAATAATATTAGACAAGCTCTAAATATATCCCCAAAATGGAAATATTCAGGTGTCCAATTTCTCGCTCTATCATCTGTCGTGAACCCATAAAACCCTTACACAAACACTATCAATACTTATTAATAATCCCAATGAAATCCCGGAATGGATCACTGAAGGTATTACATATCTCATGCCAAAAGCGAGTGAAACAGATGATTAGAAAAATTACAGGCCAATTACATGTCTGTCCACCACGTATAAATTGATTACGTCTGTCCTGACGAACTGTACTTAAACTTTTCTTGAAGCAATCACCATTCTTCCATTTCCAGAAGGGATGCAGGAGAGATTTATATGGTTGCAAAGATCAGCTAATTATAAAATGATCCTGGAAAATTGCAGGAGACTATGTAAAAAACTTAGCGCAGCATGGATAGATTACTGCAAAGCCTTTGATAATGTGCCACACTCTTGGATCCTTGTATTATTTCAACAAGAACTGTCTTAAAAATCTACAATTGGCCTTCAAAATACCTGGAAACTACAGAAGAGTTGATGATATGTATCAAAGAACATGAAAGTATTAAGTGACTTTATTCAGTAATAAAGGAAGCCAACAAGTTCAAAATGGAATTTCAAATGCACAATACTTAAAAATGATAGCAAAGGTAAATGCAACCGACCAGATACAGAAACGATAGCAAGATAAACCGCTTCAGAATCAATACTCTGTCCGTACCAAACAAGCTGATGTAGACAAATCCCGTACCCGTCAGCGGCTACATAGTCCAGTGTTAAAAGCTGAAGGCGAAGTTTTTAATCTTGCTGCACAACCAATCATCAAGCACAAATACTGAAGAAATGTGTTAGTCAAAAATGCAGATTCTGTGATAAATATCCAGAAACAATTGACCATCGTGTATCAGGTTGCACAATATTACATCAACCAGACCCGATTACGGAGATAATAGCTGTAACAATTTTATGCGACCTCAAAATACACACAGAAAAAACAATTAAAGCTAATCGCCCAGACATCGTGATTAGAGACCACAAAGATAATAAGTGTCACCATATTTATATGGCAGTCCTATGTATCTTTGAAGATCTACAAAAAGCTATCAAGATACAAGGAAGAACCTTGAAATAAAAATCTCAAAAATGTGGCACATGAGAACATCAACAATTCCAGTTATACTCGGATTGATTGAAAAAGATTTCAATAGACTCACTGAAGATATTCCTGATATTCCCTACCTCAAAGAAATAAAAAAATTGTTCTTACGAGTACAGTCCACACCTCACGAAGAGCTTTATCTATGTAAAATATGTGTGATTCATTTTTTTTTTAAATTCCTGTGTAAAATGTCATAATGCCATTTCTGACCTTAGGTCTCATGTCGGGACCCGGAAAGAAATTAGTACACGCCAGAAATCAAAAGAAATAATAATAATAATAATAATAATAATAATAATAATAATAATAATAATAATCAGAGGGCTTACCCAATCCTAGTTCAAACTGTGATATATCAAATGTTTTTCTTCTCCATTCGTAACGGCACTCAGGTATCGATAGCGTGAGGAAAGCTTACATTTTGACATTTGTAAATAAAACAAATTACAAATAACTCTTTCAGAAAGTATGGATCGATTTGACGCTCTCCTTATATTATTAACATGATTTGCAACATCAAAAATGCTAAGTAATCGATACTTTTCGATTTTTCTAAATTACTAATTCATGACTAGGGGAATGACTAATTCTAATCTAAAAAAATTATTGATGAAAATTCCTCCCTAATTTTTAGATGTGGATCACGCAATTTAAGTAGTACCACGTAAAACATAAAAAAAAGATATGCGCTTTAAACAGGAAGAAATAAAAAAGAAACATTAACATTTTCGCTGAATGATAATCGGGCCCTGATACCCGAGCTAACTTCATATGCACAAAGATTTCGATAGATTAGAAGAAATCATTTTATACGATTTGCAGCGTTGATTTTGTAAGTTAACAAATATATTAGTACTAAGACGAGGTGATAGCATGCAAAAGTGCTGGCCTCATAATCGGCAGAGAGGGACCTGCATTTCAAATAAATAAACTATAATAAACTATGAAAATGTCGAATCAAACAGGCGGAGCCAGATATGCTTCTGCTACCAAGTCCAGCTTCTTGAAAGATATATTACACTTATTCTTATGCCAAATGAATTATTGCATGAGCAGTGTCTTATGTTGCCCAAATCATCAACCGCCCAAGCCGAGTGAAGTGGATTTTTGTAAATGACGGTTCGGTAATTGTAAAACTCAAAGAGTGAAATTTAAAAGATATGAGCAAACTAAAATTTAAAAAAAAATATATATGTAGATAGATAGATACAGAGATAGAGATGGACATAGATCGATTATTAGATAGATAGATAGAAAGGTAGACAGACAGACAGACACCCAGATAGATAGATAGATAGATAGATAGATAGATAGATAGATAGATAGATAGATAGATAGTATTTTCAGCGAACTCGCATGTATTTTGTTCAATGGATAGAGGGATTGTTGTTATGTATAAAACATGCGAATAAAGCCTGCGTGGGTGAAATGTGGAGCAAATGCCCATCACACACACAACTATATTTCTCTTTCGCTATTTATGTATTTGTATTTTTAAAATGCTGTTTATTCTCTCAGAATTTTCGATAACGATATTAATTCACGATCTTTTTCTTACATTTTAAAGTACAAATACACTCTTTAGCAGATAAAACGGAAACGATAAAAAGAAACATACAAAAACAACCTCTCCGCAAAGATAAAAACGCAAATTCTGTATTTGTTTGTGGGCTTCTCGTATCCTAAAACTAGCTTACCCGAAATTCAAGCGCGTTCAGTTCTCACTGGGTGGCCATCATTTGCGATCTTCGGCCTGAAGAGGCGCTAAACTGGATATTTTTGATAATATATATTATCTTACATATCTTTTAAATAATGCATTCTCTGAACGTGATTACAAATATTAATTTTATCTAGAGTAACTTTGGGTCCAGAATAGAATAGAATAGATTGGAAGAAAATGACCAGGTCGCACAATTCATTCAAAGTTAATATTATCGGGACGGAAAAAGAGGAAGTTCGAATAAAAGAAGAAACTGGAAAAAAGTGAAAAATAAATTAAATGCAACGCCAATCTTCATCTTTTGTTTAAACTTTTCTCAGTTTTCTTCACTGTATTGTTTTTCATCCGAAACAACCACTTGTATTTTAGTGGCGTCATCGCCTTGATTGAGATAAACTGATAAAAAAAACAGGTAACCAGATTCGTTTATTCCGGAGGCGAGAAGAGATAGAAATATTTCATCTATGACAACTAAATGTTGGTAATGATAATTAAGTAAACGCTATACTTGTTTAGGCTGCTGAGGTTAGGATTAGATTTAATATTAAGATTTATCATATTACTTAATCGCCTTAATTTTCACTTTCTTAAATTTAATGTAATTTAAGGTGGTATATTATAGTAATTACGAGAAATCGTCAAATATTTCGGATTTTGTAGCTATGGATAGGGCATTTCTAAATTCCAATTTCTAATTCACGGATCAGAACGGATTTTCTAAGTACTCTTTGAAAAATGTTACACACATGATATATATAATATTAACGCGTATCAATAACAAATAGTAAATGACGGAAAAATTACCAAAACTTAACGTATTTCGAGGCGATGGAAATTTTAAGCAAGAACTAGAACGACCATAGTCAATAAATCAATAAGATTCCATTGACATATCTTTCGATTGATTTCACATAAACGACGCTCACTATATAAATCTTTTGAATTATAACCAGATATTTATACGATACATAAGAAACGTTAATCATAGCCTTCAAATTTGAAATTTATAATTTGTTATATATAAAACGCAATATATGTTGCATTTTATATATGAGAATATTTCTTCCAAAACTTTGACTAGTAGATATTAATCTTGATTTTATTCCTAACGTTCACAGTATAGGACGCAGGGTGAATTGAAGATTAGATTTTGAGAAAAAAAGTAAATAAAATAAAAAAAAGTCCTCAGTATTATATGTTTAAAAATTCGGAATACTTTCCATACATTAAACATTATATAAATATTAACCCTATTCAGTCGGTGACACTTGACATCTATTCTAAACACTGACATTCGCTTTCTCCCAGATTTCCTTTCATTTCTATAATAAAATCATGAGTGATGCCTTCCTTCTTGATATTCAAATAAATTGCATAGTAAAATTATCAGTGATGCATTTACATAAAATGGTAAAGCAAAATGTATAGGCGATTTTGAAAATACACGGAAAAAACAACAGGGAGGTGCTGATGACCAACACCACGCCTGCGCATGCGGTGACGGGCAGCAGCCTGTGCATGGGGTGACGGGTAGCAGCCTGCGCACAATATTCGATCGCAGGGGGCAATTAGTCCAGATGTATGCACGCTTCACTCAGCAATTGCACCATCGAGGGGCAATGCATCGTAGTGCGTACTCTGTGGGCAGAAGGTGTAAAACCTACGTAGATCCATCGCCGGATTTTGGCGCAGTGTGTTCAACGCGACCTGAATCAGCAGAAGGTGGTTGAGTAGGTAGAATACTTTAAAGTGGGAACAGCAAGTATAACTGGAGAAAACCGACTTGGTCGCATATAAACAAGGCACACAGAAGAACAGGGATCAGGGAACACCGACGAAACACATTAGCAAAAGTGTTGGCAATCGTGGGCATCAGCTATAGATCTGCACAAGCCGGAGTGCATGATGATTTGAATTATCGTAAAAGGTTGTGCGCGTTTGGTTCCGAAACAAGTAAGCGGTGAAGACACAGCTTCATGAACAATTAAAGAGGTTCTTTTCAGACGAGATGACGTAGCTCGTTGAACGATAGCAGTAATGCATCGCCGTGCAGTGGGACTATGTCGCAAGGTGACATCAGTTGAAGTAAAGTTTTTTGTATAAAATTGACTTTACTTTTGATTTAATCTTCTAATGTTAAATTTTCAAATATCTTAATTGCTGGCCTCTTACAAACCCTTTCTTCTTGATTTTCAATGCATCTCTATAACATTTCTATCATAATAGTGTACTCCCGTTTTTTTACCTTATTTCTTGACATTTGACAATGCTTACCTTCCTGAATTTCAGAGCATTATTAAGATCAGTAACAGGATACTTACATTTTACATTTCGGAGGTCAATTCTTTTAGCAATAATTCCTTTAATTCCTGACATCTGACAATTCCTTTATTTCTGATTTTCATGGTAAAACTAACAAATTGAGCACCGAAATTCGTTTAAAACAATTTTATGTAAATCATTTTAAAATACCGCGTTTAATCAACTGATACTTCCCTTACTGACTCAAATATTTGGTTGTCTACAAAAAGCAAACGCTGCAGTGATTGAACAAAAGTAAATTGTAATGGTAATATTAGCCGTTTCCTTATAAGGAAACATTCAGCATTCATTGATAGAGAAGTTAGTGTTACTAGAGTTACGCTTTTCTTCACTTTAGTATCTAATCTCTATCTCGCTAATGAAAATGGTAATAGTCACCATTTCCTTATAAGGAAACATTAGACATTCATTGACAGAGTAGTCACTGTTACTGTCGCCTGAAATGTATCTTTGTGTTAAAACATTTTTCAAGAAAACAGGTTTCTCAGTTCAAGTAGCTGTTATCGCTTTTCCCAGTACTGATAAGATCTTCTTTTCCAAAAGAGTGAAGTATGGGAAACGGTCACATCTGGATTATGTCATTATTTTCTCTTCTACTTATATGTGCTATCCTTTTTAGTCGTTGCTATTGTTGATAGTCCTCAAATGATGTGGTTTGTGCTATTTGGTAGATATCATTATTTTTGATTATGTAGCGCCAGTTCACAATGAGGGTCCTTGCTAAAGCCTACATACTTCATTCAAAGCAATTTTTAATCATTGATCTGGGAAAGCATTTGTATACACTTGAAAATGAAAAGACCAGAGAGACTTCAGTTTGTCTAACAATCGCTGAGATCTCATCAATTCACAATTGAGCTGGCTAGATGTAGCCGTAAATTCGATGCTAACGGTTTCTTTTCTCGCATTTCTCATGGGGAACACTCTTCGGGCACTAAGCTTTTCCACCAACTTTAATCTGCAAAAATTTAAATGCTGTGTCAGTCGCTATCTACTGTCCTTCTGATTGCTCTTTTCTCTTCCCTCTCATTACTAATGTTTCTGTTTCTAATTCTCCCACAGCGTGTAATCCCTTGAGTCTTAGTGGCTTTGCTGCCTTGCATGTGGCGATACCGATTAATGCATTATATATATATATATATATATATATATATATATATATATATATATATATATATATATATAAATAAATATATGGATATAGATCCGACAGTATGAAGAAAAATATACGGAAAAACAAACAAAATCCTTATATACAATTATTCTGTTTTAATGTTAATATGTCAACGTCGGACGTTTCGGTCAATAAACCATCTTCAGGACATATTCATAAATTATAACATTATCAATGTCCATATTATATATAACATTATCTTTGTCATGTTGTATGATAATGTTATAATTTAGTTTTTTTCCTGTTTATTTTTTTCTTCATATATATATATATATATATATATATATATATATATATATATATATATAAAACAAATTACTCGACTTGCACTGCTCAAACTTGGTAAACTTTTATCGTTTAGGAAGTTGTACCTTGCCGTGAAATCAAGATAATTACTACCGTAGTGGGTTATATCTCCTTTATCTTAATGTCATACTAATCCTATATTAATAAACGTCAATGACATAAGAAGGCACATTGCAATAGCGAATGTCTTTAAAAAAATAACCAAAACGCTGGACAATTAATTACGTCACAGATAAAGAAAAGACTTGAGCTAACAATTACCTGGTTCTACACAAAGATGCAGAGAATGCCATCCACCGAAAATGTGAGTAATGTGGAAGTTTTAAGGAAAAAAATTGTTTATAGTTATAATTAGAAAAAAGACAGCTTACCTTTCTAGATACGCTTAATGAGGAAATTTGGCTTGGAAGATTTTACACTGGCAGAACAGGCAGGGCAAGAAGAATCAGGAGTAATCTACTTAGCACACAGAAAGAAACAGGAAGGCTGATGATCGAAACTGAGAGATAGATAGATATGTACAGACTGACTATATATATATATATATATATATATATATATATATATATATATATATATGGTAATACTCGTTTGTAAAACCTCGGATAGCTCAACTTGTAATGGAAGAAATCGATACCCGAAGCAAAAAATTGGAAATAAAAAGAAAGAACCAAAAACATCAACACAATACGAAACCAATTGTCAAGTCCTTAAACTCCAAGTCCAAAGAAAAAAAAAACTAAACGAGTAGAAAGGCTAAAACGTAGAATTCTCAATACGTTAAGTCCAGCGATAAACTAGAATAATCCTAAGAAGCCAGGCAAACCTACCTAGGTTTCACTTAAACGGATCTTCAGGGTAAAACTGGCAAAAAAAAGGAAAATAACGGAACAGTATTTATTGATCAAAATCAAATAAAGCCATAACCACGTGACAAAAAAAGGTATGTTACTTTATTGATAAGCCGATAACGAGACAAAAAAACAAACAAACAAAAAGCGTACGTTACTTTATTGATAAGCCAATAACAAGACAAAAAAAACTCTATTCTAATAACCAGCCTTTACTATGTCTACACCTAAGGATTTCCGATTTTTGGTTTAATAAATTTTTAGATTCATTATGAGTAGCGATAGCTAGTTTTTCTTCCATAAATAGAGAACAAAATTTATCACCTGCCTTATATTTATAACATTTTTTTTTAAATATTTCCCAGTTCAAAATGGGATCATTGTTATTTTCTTGTTTAATCTTCCATATATATGTGGAAATGATAGTAATATGTTTTTGGTTTCGTTATTGAAACTACTGAGGTAGTTGTAATAACGTTTTTTGAAACTGCTCTGAGTGGATCCTATGTAAAGTTTAGGGTTTTTATCAGTACTATTAAATTTATTTCTATGTATTTTAACTTGATAGACCACGCACTCTTGTTGGCACATGCCCTCAAGACGGCAGGCGTCCTTATTTCTACAGTTACACTTAGCTGGGATGGTATGTGGTTTGTCTTTAATTTTTTTCCTATTATACTTACTAATTAAGTTAGTCATGTTAGGCATACAACTGTAACTTAGTTTAACGTAGTTTTTATTGAAAAAATCTATGTAATACGTCTGTGGGAAGTTCTTTTTAAATAATTTGAAAAATATTTTACCTATTTTTGTTTTAACTGCAAAACTGCTTTGCCTTTTAGGGGAAATATTCGTGTCAATATATGTTAATTTACTTCTATGTCCACTTCTTTTTAAAGCATTATCATAATTTTGTTTATTTTTATTAAAGATGTTATTATCTGATGAGTTAATGGACAATCTATGGCTAATTCTTTTAGGTATTTGTTTTAGAATATGTTTAGGGTGATTAGAACCTACGTCAGTATAACTTGGTTGTTGGTTATTTTTTCTATATGGTGAAACTGTACCATTACGTAGGTCGAGTGTAACGTCTAAGTAGTGAGTGACTTTTAAATTAATTTGTATATCCAGTTTGAATCCGAATTTCTTAAATAGCCAGTGTAATTTCTTACGGATTACGTCGCTTTTTCTACGGGTACATTTATCTATTACGGTTAACGCATTTGTTATTTTTATCATAACCTTTGAACCATTCTATACAATCGCGAGTAGAGCGCCATTGTTTAATATTTAAAAATGTCCTTAGTGATTCACATATGTCTTGTAGTATTACTTTGCTAATTTTACCCATCTGTGTTTTAGTAGGTTTAATTAGCGGGCATTCGAGGTTATTTAGGAAATCATCTTTATGGTCCTTAAATGTTATAAAACAATTTTTTTTATATTAATTTGTTCTATTCTGTTTTCTAAATTAAATTTACTGGCTAGTATACTAGCCTCCTTGTTAAGTTCTATTTCTAGGTTAATGGGGGCCATTTTATAGTGTTTGATCACTTCTTTATGCAGTATATTGTTATATTTGCTAGGGCTTACCTTATATAAAAACCTAGATTTGTCTCCTTTAACGAAGACTTTTTTTTTTTACTATTTTTAATATTCTTCAAATCCTTATTGATTTGTTGTTGTATAGGGTTGGTATTGTTTTTATATCTTATTATTTTAGCTAATATGACTCAAAGCTATCTAACTTTTTAATATGGGGTGGGTGGGTATATATTTTAAATCCATACGATTCAGTAGTTTTTCGGTGGCTATTCTGGTTATTATTAAAGAAGAAATAAGTTTTCCATCTCATATTAGCGGTGAAGGATTCTATCTTCTTCAGTAACACTAATTCGTAAAAATGTCTATCGGGTAACGGTATATTCTTAAAGGAATAACCAACGTCTACTTGTTCCATGACGGCTGACTTTTAAAAAGTGCTCAATAGGACGACCTAGAGCTAAAATTATATAAATGGTAATACTCGTTTGGAAAACCTCGGATAGCTCAACTTGTAATAGAACAAATCGGTGGGATTATTTTTTGGTACATATATATATATATATATATATATATATATATATATATATATATATATATATATATATATATATGTATATATATATGTATGTATTTATGTATGTATGTGTGTATATAAAGATAGATAGATAGACAGACAGATATGAACAGAGTGAGATAGATAGATATGACCAGCCAGAGATACATATGAACAGAGTGAGATTGATAGATAGATAAGCAAATAGATATGAAGAGATATAGATAGATAGATAGATAGATAGATAGATAGATAGATAGATATGAACCAACTTAGATCTGAACAGACTGTGACTGATAAACAGATATTAACTGAGTGAGAGAGATAGATATATACAAACATACATACTAACAAATTGTAATATGTATAAAAACTGATATTGTCAGGTAATTATACGAGAAAATAAATATTTCTTCATCATTTCTTTCTTCACTAGTCTCTTTAAATTAACGTAAACTGGACCCTCACTCAGTAGTTTCTATCTTTTAACTGGAGACAAAGATTTTTTCTTGCTTTTTTTCCGTTAGCAAGAAGAACTGAGCGACTGAAAAGCTGCACTTTTTCCAAAGAAGGTCGATAACCCATGTGTCCAACACTCTCTAAGACAACCACCAAGCAATTGGCGTATCGTTGTCGCCTCTGCTTTGGTTAATGGTTAGCGAATTCGTTTGTTTGTGTGAGTAAGGACATTGATCCTCAGTGGGTGTTCTGTTCAGTGTCAAAAAATCTGCAGTCAGAGATAATTATTTTTATTCTAATTATTGAAAAAAATTCTTTATCCGAGCTAATTATAATCTCAAATTGTTTAACGTCTGAGATAAAAAAAAAATTCCGAAAAAGAGTCACAGTATAAGTCGGATCTAGGTAGACCTTTTACATATTCGTGCAAATCGGATCGATGTCTAACGTTTTAACTCACTGGAAACTGGATATCTATGTACCTTTTTATTCAGGTACAAACCAAAACTATGTCTACCATTTTGAATGTAGTGCAAACTTTACCTATATCTACATATTTAAATTTAATGTCTATTCGATCCATATCGACATTTCTGTGTCTACCTTTTTGGTTCTTGTATGAAACGATTCTATTTCTACTTCCTTTACTTATGTCCAAACAGAAAATATGATCGCCATTTATATTCTAGCGCAAACTGAGCCTATGTCTACCAATTTCACTCTTATTCAAAGCGGGTCTATAATTCCCCTTTTGAGTCTAATGCAACCGAACCTATGTTTACCTTAATGAAGGTCAATTATAACTTCTGACCTCATATTTGGTAGGAAATAATCCAATCAATTTTAAAATCTCGTAACACCAACTAAACTAAATTAAATTACAACAAGCAGTATGAAGTCAGCATATTTTTAACTAAGTTTTCGTCCAATACAAAGTCCAAGAGTCACTCTTGGTAGACGGTTGTAGCATGCGACTGGATTTGGCCTTGAAACTCCTATCCTCATGGCTCATGTTTCGCCATAAAGCGTAATCAGTAAACACGGCTCAAATCTATGGTCATGGTTTTTTCTTCGTGTATATATAGTATAAGATTTTTCCGTGATTTTATATTCTGAACATATACTGCTTCGATATTCCGACGATATTTAATCCATAACGTTTGTATAACAGTAGAATATAAAATGAAGAAAAAATCCACAATTAATACTGTAAATTCTAAATCTCAGATTTCAAAGAAAGTAAAATCTGCTGTTACTAAATCTTCTATCACGAAGGTGTGGAATCCACGGGAGCCACCGTGTTCCTCCTTCCAGCTCTCAAGGTCTTTTCAGAGCATCAAACACACTCCACCACCAGAATAATCTGCTAGATGTCCTGACGGACAATGTCCTTCCAGCAGCTTCTTGGTCAGCCGCAAGGTTGTCTCCAGTCTGAAAATGACGTGTTGAATTGCATCATGATGTTTTTTTTGCTATTTTATTCTCACGAACGGGTCCCAACTATTCCTACTATAGGGTGCAGTCAACAAAAAAAAAAAAAAATCGCATGCGCAAGATTTAAAAAAAAATAATATGGTGACAATTTACCCATCGCACGCTGTATACGCTGTTACACCGATGGAAAAGGGGATACCCTCTGTAGTTAAACGAACACATTATGAATATTTCATCTAAGTCCCATTAAATATCTGTTTGAATTACGAAGACATATTTTTGCTTAGCAAATTAAGTTTCGGAATATGAATGAACACACAGGAAAATTGAAAAGATGCCAAACTGACCCATTAAGAATCAAAACCATTCATTCTACTAGTGAGGGGAATCACCTCCATCTAGTGTAGACCGAATTATATAAGGGTCAGTGTAGAAAAAGGCGACGGTAGGTAGCGGCACACTAGCATCATGTATATAAGAAAATTAGGGACGGGTTAAAATTTACTGAGGGTTAGAGACAAAAGTGTGCTTACATTTTATTTTTTTTTTCGAAAAATGAAACCAAAAATCTCTAGGAAACAGTAGTCTATACTATATATATATATATATATATATATATATATATATATATATATATATATATATATATATATGTGTGTGTGTGTGTGTGTGTGTGTCGTATTACCCTCCACTGCCGACGGACTTCAGTTACGGCCGATAAGTGGCTTGGTAATCAGCTATGTAAAAGTAAAGGAGTCCCTCTCACTCATTTTCTCTTTTTGACCAGAGATGTAGTAGCGTGCCAGCACTGAGGCAGATTACTTTTCCTGGGCAGGTCGACTACCTAATATCAATAAACCATGTGGCGCACTCATACTCACTCTAACGCGCGAATATACACACACGCGCAAACTATAATCCCATAAATGTTTACTTTCATTCTCTTTTGTATAATATAATACAGTATAAAAATTTTATTAATGTTGTATACTTGTCTCTCAAGATGTTCATATTAAGCTATTTCCTACTCTCTGCGTGCAAAGTTCGCTTAATCTTCTGATTGCTCATCCACCAAGCTAGACTTTACAATTTTTTATCGTTGCGATTTCGATCCACCCTGGGTACCTTACTCTTGCAGCTTTGTGCTGAATGAGGTTTGATAAATATTCATACCTACTGGGATTCAATTACGCCTGACTCTAACCCTATCATCAATGAAACACACTGTGCGATTGAGGACTTCGGTAATTCACACTGCCCCATCTACTTGAAGATGGCAGTAGCTATAAGACACTGTTACATTCATTCAAAGTTGACAGAAGCCTGAAAGGCATGTAATCAATAGTAGAACATTTTAAAGTATATTTTCCTACTTTTATTCTGATTTCAATAAATATTTTTATAGCTAATATAAGTCTTTAGAAAACGTTACTTAAGAAAAAGTGGATTCTAAATGGGGAAGACTTTCTTGAATTGAAAATTTCGATAGCCTGCCTCGTCCTGGGTATGACTATAAACTACATCTGGCAGTAAGGCTTCTGATGCGGAGATTGAAGGTTTTGAGGACAGTAGAACCATCGCTTAATTGCTGTTGATCCCATGTCCACCCTGAACCAGGGTTGTAATCACTGTGAGGGTCCTAGCTATGGGCAAATAGTGAATCCCCCCAAACATAAAAAAACTATGTAAGCATAAAAATACATTTTTTTAGTAAAAATACAAGCAATATATTTTATAAAAAAAATTACCAACGACACATATTTATAGTAAAATTACCAATAATAACTATTTATAATAGAATGGCTAACATATTTTATAGCAAAATCACCAAAATTATATTTTATCTGTAGTTGAAGGCATACAATTGTGTTCAAAATATATTTAGTTGAAACATAAAATTGTGTTCAAAATATTTAGATTTTGGCATTAAATAAGCCACAGAGGTTGATATGCCTATCCTTGTTTCAACGAGAACACTGATCATTATTATTTACTAAAGGGTATGTAAGTTTATATTTTACCAGTTTACCAAGATCAGCATTCGAAATTGGGCTCTCCATCTGAGCCGAAACTTCGACGAGCGGCACCGTTGAGAAATATACAATTCCACAACAACGAAGATGTTGCAGATAAGCTTGGCTTAGACAAGCGCAAAGCTCGATAGAATGAAGTGCGTTGTTGAAAGATTTTGATGTGTCAATTAATCAAAAGTTTTATTCCTGCCAAGCTACGCATTTGAAAAACCTAGCCCGGGGCTTGAACACCACCCACCAGCATTGTTGAAGAGGAGGTATAAAGATTTTTATCGGCTTGTTTTATGTGACGTGAAAAGAACGAGGGAAAGGGAAAATGGGAGAAAGCGTTAAAAGGCAAATGGGCAGGACAAACAAGAAAGGGCGTGGCCGAGCTTGTGGGTGGGTAACTTGATGACACGTTATAGTAGTAGAAGCAACAGCAGAAGAAGAAACAGTAAATATAAGGTAGAATTTATTATTGAAGTTTTATTCAGATAAAAATAATGAAAAAATAATAATTACAGAGGATTAATAAAATATTGATTCTTACACTTTTTATATCTGAATCCTTTATTTGGCATTTATCAAAGGATGCTAATTATCTATCTATCCATCTATCTATCTATCTATCTATCTATCTATCTATCTATATCAGTCTGTTCTTCATGGATCAATGTTGATTTAACTAGTCTCACTGACAATTACACCTATGTAGTCGTTTTGATGGTCGCCGGGTCATGTTATGCATGTTGTGATGCCAATGTAATATTTATAGACTTTGCTCAATGTGGTTTTTCGCAAGGTAATCACGAAGATTGGAATTTGGATCTGAGTTCCATCCACAAACGGTAACCTCACAACTCTAACTCAGTGCAAATTTTATAAAATATGTGTCTATGATGTGGATCTATGATATATATATATGGATATAAATATATATATATATATATATATATATATATATATATACACACATACCATATATATATATATTTAATAATTAATTTAAGACATTTTTTGGATGTTTATACTTTTTATTTTTATACAAATATTTAAATAAATGCTCTGTTTATAATAAACAGTATTAAACAACAAAGTATTAAAAGGACGAATATTTTCTATGAAAATTTCTCGGATATTCAGGCCGGTAAATGTTTTTTTAATACTGTTTATTATAAACACAGCATTTACTTAAATATTTGTATCTATAAAATTATATATATATATATATATATATATATATATATATATATATATATATATATATATATATATATATATTTATATATATATATATATATATATATATATATATATATATATATATATATATATATATATATATATATATGCGTTCGTGCGTGCGTATATTTGTGTATATATATATATATTATATAAATTATTGATTTAAAATATTATATATTTTACTGTTCT